GTTTCTCTGAGGAAGGGCGAGCTCACTTGAGATCAAGCTTTTCCCATCCAAGAGTGCCTGGCACAGGGTAAAAGTCAACTAACTCATCCTAAGAAGGGGGTGTGTTTAGGAAGGCTGTAAGTTTCAAGATTAGGTCAAGTTAGGCCAAGGGTGAGGTCTCCTTATAGGAGAAGCTGATGCCTGAGCTAACCCCTGAAACTGCATGGTTTAGCTAAGAAAAGGCTGTAGGACAGCGGGGAAAGCAGACCCACAGTCACATGCAGATGGAAATGTGAAAGGGCCACGCATGTGGGCGAGACTGTAGGCAGTTCCGGGTGGCTAGACTTCAGGGCCTATTCATTCACTTAATTCTTTAATCATTCAATCCATAAATATTTTGTGACTATTTACTATGTGTTGGCGGTGAAGCAAGAGAAGAAAAAGCAATGCCACACACACACACACACACACACATACACACACTTAGAATGTAAACTAAGGTTTGTTCTTTTTTTTTAATTTTTTTTTCCAACGTTTTTTTATTTATTTATGGGACAGACAGAGACAGAGCATGAACAGGGGAGGGGCAGAGAGAGAGGGAGGCACAGAATCGGAAACAGGCTCCAGGCTCCGAGCCATCAGCCCAGAGCCTGACGCGGGGCTCGAACTCCCGGACCGTGAGATCGTGACCTGGCTGAAGTCGGACGCTTAACCGACTGCGCCACCCAGGCGCCCCTGTAAACTAAGGTTTTAAGTGGGGACTTGGAATTCCCTACGCCATTGTTAAAGGAGTAGCAGCATGTTTTGGAATAGTTATTGCAGAACTGGAGGTGGTTAGAGGGAATTTTACAGCATCCTGGTTCTCTTTTGTCTGCTGTCTCAGAAATTTAACAAAATTTCTGGGTGGTAAAAATATATTTCCATGAAATCAAATGTATCTCTTTCCTTTCTATGTCCACTGCCACAACTTCAGTCGAACATTTACTGTTAGATTTGCAAAACTGTGTTATGCAGAGCATGCATTCAGCAGGATTTTAACAAGGTAAGTGATAAGAAGGGTTCTGTAATCAAATTGGCTTAGGGACTGCCTCGATAATAAAAAGTTAAATACCTTTCTGTAAAGCAGGACATCTTAGCTTGGTAAAATCCCGAGACGCATTGCATATTTCTGAAAGGAGGACACAGTATGTATAGTGCTTCCCACATTTATTTGGCAGGGGCCCTTTTATGGGATATTATCTTGTCAGACTGGTGAGGAACACCAGTTAATACCTTAGATGTAAACAGCAATAGTGGAGACAAGTTTGAAAGACTGGGTAGAGACAGGGTGCTGGAAAGCTTTGAATTCATTTTACTGGATGCCAGGGAGTCACCAGAAGAATTTGTGTTGGGAGAGGCTGACCACAGCCATGCCTAGCATGTGAGCTGGGCTGCAACGGAAGGTTCTGGGTCTCTGAAGTGACAAAAGCATCCCATGGAAAGAAAAAAAAAAAAAAAAAAAAAAAAAAAAAGAGCCAGCAACCAAGCATTATGCTTCGAAGGCCCAGAGGCCAGATCATACCCCATATCTGTGACATCTGTCCTTGATGTCCCTTCTTTCAACTGTGTTCGGAACTCCTGAGATTCTAGAGGTGCCCAGCCAGCCAGTGGATGAGCAGGTAGAGTGAGGAGAGAGACAAGAAGCCAACGCCTTCACCCTCATCAGTGGGGTCTTCCAGAAGACAGACACCAGCAGGGGAAGTAGAGAACTCATATTGGGCAAGAGTTTGGGTTTTGGTTATCACTACTGGACCATCACAAGCGGTGACGGTGAGGTTGGACAACCCTCTGTACTATCTAAGAGTGTCTGAAAAGCTCTATGACAAGCCTGAGGTTTCGTGCAAATGGCAGAATTTTCTTAAAAAGAGCTTTGAGAGGAAGATAGAATAACACAGTTTCCTGTTTGCACCTTACTGAATCCAGCTTGTTCAATGGGCCAGTTCCACAAGTCTCATACGGTGGGCATGAACTGCTTGGCTTATCCAGCTCCCATCTTTGGGAAACAGCACATGGGTCTATCCACATGGTTCTGGTGGGCGCTTCCAACCACAGGACCCCACCGTCATGGCCACAAAAACGGATGTATACCCCAAATAAGGCCAGTCAGAGGCCTTCCCCCAGGTTTTAAAAACTGGGATTGCCGATGTGAAATGGGAGCCTAAGAGATCCTGGTTACCCCAACTTCTAGAAGTGCAAACCCAGTTACTAACGAACACAGAGAGAGGAGCAGGTGTGAGGTGTGGTGGCGTTTGAGCTCTAGGCTCTAGTTCCCTTCGACAGCTAGTGATATTCCGGCCCTTTTCCCAGTTTGAGTATAGACCACAAACATTTTCCCTTTTTGCCTAAAGAACTTTGAGTTTCTGGCACTTACAACCAAGTGCTCGCTAAGATGAAAAGATATCTCTGCAAGAAGCCAAAAAGGTAAATGCTTTTGGTAACAGCCAAAAGGCTGTGTTAAAGCTTCTGTGCCAAACAAAACGCAGCCCCTGACAACCCAGAAGCCAGTCCGGCACTCACAGCTGGGCCATGTTATTCTCTGGCCGGACACAAGCAACCTCACAGAGTATCAACCTCAGACAAGGCTACGCTGACGCTATAAAATGAGACCCAGGATGACCACTTCGTAATTCTGTATAAGCACAGACAAAAAAAAATAAGGTCACTGCAACACCCTCCTAATACCACAAACACTCCTCTCTGGGCTATTTCTTTGCTTTATCAATTATAACCTTCTCCTGGTTCTAGTCTCTTCTCTCTCTATAGGTAAGCTTTATTGAGATAACCAGTCACACAATTTCCCCCTTTGTAACAGCATAAAATCTAGAAGGAAACTCTGCTTCCTTAGGCCCTCCCCCAAATCACCCAAGGAATGTCCAAACCTATGGAACAGGTTCATTCAGGCACCTTTTTACTGAGACGCCCCTAGATCTCCATGGTGTGTATGCTTCTTCACTTCAATGAGAAATAAACCCAACTTGTTCAACCGCAGGTGTGTTTCTGGTGGCCTTTGACTGGAAGACATTGACACTGTGAAAGCATTTTTATTTTATTTTTTTAAATGTTGGCTTCCTATAAAACTATTTGTCTTCCAGGATGTCTGGAAGAGACTTTATTTTTTAAAACATGAAATGGTTGGAAGCTTGCAGAAGTGCCTAAAGAAACCAAGTAAACTACATCTATTTTAATTCTTAAATACCTCAGAAAGTGTAGTGGATGCTGAGATCTCGCCTTCAGGACCCAGGCACCTACCTATTCCTCCAGATTGTTCACTCCTCATACTTCACAACTGATCTCCTCCTTTGGAATTGCTTTTAGGCAAAGCTTTTTGTTCAAGGGCACAGCTTCCTCCCTGGGACTGCCTGTAGCCAATGCTGATTGGTTGAGATGAGGGTAGAGTGGTCCAACTGCTTTTTGGCATCAACTCTGTAAGGCCATTCCCTGTGGGGTCTGCTAAGGCTTCTGCTGCAATTGCAGCACAGGTCACTGTGAGCTCTCTTCCCAATCCAGGTGACTTCACTCCCTTATAAATCAGAGCACTCCCCGAATTCTGCTGCGCAGACATTTCCATGCGGGAATTTATTTCCTGGGGAACTGACTTAAGATACAAGAGAGCTAAGAATTCAAAACTGGCTACCAGACATTCTCACACAGAACCAGGAAAGTTCTGCCACTGAAAATTCCCATGACTCCTGCCCAACGTATACAAAATAGTTTGCTAAATGGGTGGGGAGGAAGTCACGTGACAGAACCAGTTTCTCCCTTGGACAGAAAGATGGAGTCAGGTTAAGGGATTGCAGGAGTTACAAATGGCTAATATAACCAAGAACCATCAAATACCTAGGAATAAACCTAACCAAAGATGTAAAAGATCTGTATGCTGAAAACTATAGAAAACTTATGAAGGAAATTGAAGAAGACACAAAGAAATGGAAAAGCATTCCATGCTCATGGATTGGAAGAATAAGTATTGTTAAATGTCAGTACTACCCAAAGATATCTCTACACATTCAATGCAATCCCAATCAGAATCGCATCAGCATTCTTCTCGAAGCTAGAACAAGCAATCCTAAAATTTGTATGGAACTACAAAAGACCCCGAATAGCCAAAGTAATATTGAAGAAGAAGACCAAAGCAGGAGGCATCACAATCCCAGACTTTAGCCTCTACTACAAAGCTGTAATCATCAAGACGGTATGATATTGGCACAAAAACAGACACATAGACCAATGAAATAGAATAGAGAACCCAAAAGTGGACCCACAAATGTATGGCCAAGTAATGTTGACAAAGCAGGACAGAGTATCCAACGGAAAAAAAGACAGTCTCTTTAGCAAATGGTGCTGGGCGAACTGGACAGCAACATGCAGAAGAATGAAACTAGACCACTTTCTTACACCACACACAAAAATAAACTCAAAATGGATAAAGAACCTGAATGTGAGAATTTTATCATAACTTCTGGTGTTGCCATTTGAAACCCATCAAGTTACAATCTCAAGACACCTGACTCCTTAAGTCTCAATTCCTCTGCCACGTTCTCTGTACCATGGTTCCATCCTCAGCAGCATCCTGTGACCTCCCAACACCAAGATCATGCCTCCCTCCCTTTCATCTTACTGTTCATTCCACCATCTTGCTCCTCACTCAACAAAATCCTACCCATCTTTGAAAGGTCTGATCTTCCATGGAGCCTTTTGTTCAGGTCCATCTTTGATAGCCCCTTCCTACCCGAACTCTTCTTGCGCCATTTTCTACAATGTAGCTCACATCCTGTGTGCCCCATCATGTTTGGCACAGGGCTAGGTTCACGTGGTTGCTCCATGAGTACTCTTTTTCTAACAGCTTTATTGATATATAATTTACCTACTATAAAATTCACCTGCTTTAAGTATATGATTCAATGATTCTTAGTAAAAACTTACATGGTTGTACAATCATTGACACCATCCATTTTTAGAACATTCTCCTCACCCCGGAAAGATCTCTTACACAACCTTTATTTACTCCCCCTTCCCATCCCCAGGTCCAGACCACCACTAGTCTGCTTTCTGCCTCTCGAGATTTCAAGAAATATTTTGTAAACTCTTGATTTACACATCGTGACCATCACTCACTGTGGAGTCCCCTTTACAAATCACCTAAGGTAGACATCTGAATAATTAAGAGCTTGTTAAATAAATGACATTCAAAATCCCTCCTCCTCACTAACAAGGTGAGAGTATTCACTTCTTATTACAATCAAAAAGGTGTCATTTTTAGGTAAAATCTAAACACCCGGATTTGTTTTAAACTCAATGTTGATTCAGCTGGAATTTGTTTTGAAAAACAGCAAGAAGGAGATGGAGTGAACAGATAACATGATGGTACCCCGAGAGCTTTCAAACACGTCACTTCACTTGTGGAAGTTAAACAGGTCAGACAAATATCCTTTTCTGCACTTCCCTTGTTTTGAACCCCAGGGATAAGGACTCCTCCAGAGAACAATTATAAAGGACAGCTTGCCGAAGGTTCAGGATGTTTCTTCCTGTGTAGGCCAAATACAAGTCAAGGCTTACACCGTTGATTAGCTTTACTTGCATTCAGTTCAAGGGTCATCCCTTGTGTGTCTTCTTAAATATTAAGCAACTTTAAAAGATTACACTTGAACTCAATTTAAATTGTGGCCATTTGATCAACTATCTTATAAGCAAATAAGGGGATAAAAGCAAAATTACTTCCTGCCCTGCTTTTTGTAGACCAATGGAATATCCATTACTTAGAAATATTGGACTAACATTGGGACTATCGAGGCATAAATAACATACAAAGCACGTCAGGAAAAACTGTGGCTGTGGGTTTTATTTTGCCATCATAAAAGTTTAATTTAATCTGTCTTTTCTTTCTTTCTTTTATTTTTATTTTACAATGCCAAAAGAAAACGAGATTATTTCACAGGCGGAAAGCACGCCTTAGCAAAAACGCTATCGAACGAGCGTCTCGTGTGCAAGGATGCTGTGTAACACGGAAGTGAAAATGAGTCCTCCACACATTCACATTGTCAAGAGACTGTAGACTCAGACCCGGCAGTACAGGGAGTATCACTTTTTCCAGGATTCTGTGGACTTAGCCCCGAGGATACAATACTATTTTAATCAAAGTTCCAAACTGTGACAGCTCAAATTCTCCCTAAATTTACCAAACCAGTGCTTCTAATATAGAAATTAACCCAGCTTTATGATATCAACACTCTCTTTATTTGAATACCAGAACTATAAATGTTTTAAAACGCTATTCGTGTCTATTTTCAATAATTAGATTCTTTCCATTGTAAAAGCAAAAATAAAATTTTAAATAATAGTCTTTCTAGAGAAGGACTAATGTATACACAGCACACTATTTTATGACATGATGATACGTTTCACGTGAATGTATTATACCATGGTCATCATCGCTAATTATATAGGATTATTAAAGATTTTGTTCAACACCATAATTTTCAAGATCAGGAGTCAAAGAGTCCCAGTAGGACCAAATGATCCGACCAGGACCATCTCCTGAGTCTGTGGCCAAGAGAAAACAATATTTTACAACCACAAAGCTAATCTACTAATTAACCTTCAGGAAGCGAGCCTTTCTATAATACTTTTTTTGTTTCCTGTAATACTTTTAAGTAAGAGAATTGTTTCTTCTAACACCTACAGCAGAAACCCACGTATCAGGGAAATATAAGGACTTATTAAAATATGTATTTTAACTATGTAATGAAAATGAATTACAAACGTTTCCTGACCATGCGTCTGTAGGTTCAAATGGAATTTAACACTTAACAAAATCAACACTGAAGTGGGCACCACTAAAATAAAAGCTTTCTAACTGAAAAAAAAAAATCCTGTGATGAAGCTTTTAAAAATTAGGATATATATTTTACTCTTTTACAGTCGAAATAGCATTGTACCCACTAAAACAATGATCTCTTATTTTCCTATGAGTGCATCCAAAAAAACTCCAAATATAATTATCAGAAACCTCTCTAAGTCTGAATAAACAGATATATATTATTTTCAAATAAAACCTAAATTTACTATGAAACTCTTTAAGTGGGGGAAAGTCACGCCTTTGTTAACTTAGTCTTTAAATAAATTTAATGTATTGAATTTCTGGATCCAAGGGCTACTTGCAATTTATGATGAAAGGCATTTACCCGTTCTTTCTGAACTGGCCAGTTCAAGATGCAGTGAGATTTAAACATCCCTCGTCGCAAACAGAGTGCATGGTTCAGTTTATAATCTGGAATATCCTCAAGAAAGATCAATATAATGGAATCCAGATTTTGTTCCACAGCTTGCTGAACTGCCTGGTGCACCTTGAATCTAGTAAAAAAAAAATAATTATTAAAATAAGTTACATATATCAGCATACGGTTTAGAACAGCCAAAAGCGCTAACATCCCCCCTAAACTTGTTTTTATCTGTCACTAATAATCAAGTTATTTTTTTTATTTTTAAAATTCTTTGAGTTGTCAATGATAATGTAAGTAATATTTGAAAGCTCAAGTGAAAAAAACAAGTACACACTTAAAATTTCACAATGTTCACCTACCTTTTACACAATGGATCTTTTAATAGATGCTGTGTTATAACGAAAACAGTTTTTCTGCTCCTTTTGATGCTATTAACAATTGATTCAAGTTCAAGGACACCTGCCTCAAAGTCCCTTTCTTCGAGACAAAATCTGAGAGTTTGATCTTTTTCTTCCATCGGAGAGAAGTTCTCCCAGACCCAATCCCTATCTTTATAGGCATGAATTATATATGCTGCATATTCAAACTGCTCTGGCTGTCTGTCTATTTCTTTGAAACCAAGAACTCGATGCACTGAAACATTCCAATAAAAAGATATCCTCCAGCCTTCGAAATGGATGAGCAATACGGTAAAGATAAAAATCAAAAGGACACTGGTATTTATTATGAAAAAGAGTTCAAAGGGGGCACTGTCTTTGCAGGCTGATATATCAAAAAGCATCACCGGGAAACCATGATATTGAGGTGGAGTATTACAGAGGTAATGGCTTGACAGGTCAGAGATGTTGGTATGGGTACTATTAATCCAATTAACAAACCAGGCAATACTTTCACAGGTACAATCAAATGGGTTAAAGCTCATATCTAAATTACTCAGGTTCCTGAAGGCTGGCCCAAAAACATCCTTCTCAACTGACGTTATGAGATTCTTCTGAAGGTTCAGTGACTTTAGAGATGCCTGATCATCAAAGACAGATAGCGGAAATATGTTTAAATTATTCAATCCTAAATCAATGCTCTTTAATTCAGATAAGCCCTTGAATACCTCTGCTGGGATCTCATCAAAGCCATTAGACTCTAAGTTAAGAATGTGGAGGTGAGAAAGACCCTTTAGAAAATAAACAGGACCACTAGGGTTCGCACGTTTCCATAGCCGTGCTAAGTTGTTGTGCTGCAATTCCAGAATTTCTAGTTTCTCAAGACCCTCCAACAGTTTCTCATTTATGTTGGCTATATTGTTGTTGCTTAGATCCAGAATGACCAAGTTGCGAAGAGAATGAAATGGTGAAGGAGAAGTGTCCACATTTCTCAGGGCCACTCTGCGGAGCATCAGGCGTTGGAGGCTTGGAACCAGGGCAAAAGACCCAGGAGTCAGTTGTAGGTATTTGTTGTAGGAAAGGTAGATTTCAATGATATTTCCTAGACCTCTCCATTCTTGGCCTGTGAGCTCTTGCCCAATTTCATTAATGCCAAGGTCGAGTACCTGAAGGTGGCCCAGACAAGAAAAAGCGCCACTCTCTATTTTTGAGATTTTGTTTTTGGTTAGGTTGAGCGTGACCAAAGGAGACTGAGCAAGTGACAAAAATGTTTCATTTGTTAAAGTTCGCAAGCTTGTGAAGGAGTCGGATAGACTCAAGTGTTTCAGCTTTATCAGTCCCGTGAACATATGGCTTTTTATACCTGGGAAGTTGTTGTCTCCCATGTTAAGATACTCCAAACATTTTAGCCACTGAAAGGAAAAATCATCGATCTTGGGACGCGAGGTAAGGGCAGTGCTTTGTTTGGTGAAAGATCGTCTCAAATCCAAGTATCTCACACTGAGAAGCCCATACAAGGAGTGAGAAAATAAGTGTTCTATATTATTATACCCCAGGAAGAAATATTCTAGACGTGGAAGCCAAACGAAGGAACCATTATCAATCACATTTAAGTTGTTGTGGGAAAGATCGAGCACGGTGAGATTTGTGTGCTTGAGCCCAACGAAAGTCATATTGCTCGTTCTGTACAGCTGGGTGTTGCTCAGGGATAGATTCTGAATGCTTGTGTTCGACAGTTCTAAACAAAGCTGCTCTGTGAGGTTGGGGTTCAGTTGAGCATTGTTCAGAGAGAGGCCAAATAATTTTCCAATTGCATGAAAACACCCTGGAGAGAACTAAAGGTGGGGGGAGAAAAAAGAGGTTAATAACCAAAACACAGTGGGGTCCGCATGACTCTAGAGAAGCTTAAACACAATTCTTTACTCCACCCCCTTCCCCCTTCACCATCTTCTCTGGGTTTACTCTCCATCCCTCTACTGCACAGCTCCTTACTCTGTGCCTGCGACACCCACCTCCTGGGGCAGTCCCCCACCTTTCCTGGCCGCTGCTTACCTTCTGCCCAGCATTCAATGGCCTCCTTTCCAGGGGGCCCTCCCTGACCTCCCAGTCTAGGTGAGGTCCCTAGTATTTTTACTTGATCACACTGAGTATGACTGTAATTAACAAACTCTTTGTAAGGTCACCACTGGGGCAGATGCTGTTTCTGTCTCGCTGACCACTGTTCTCAGTGAACACGTGGGGAATGAATGGGTGGATTTTATTATGCAACTGCGACGCGCACTTTCCCTTCTGCAGCTCTGAGTTCCAGCCTTCCTCTTTGTCTGTCCAGCCCGGGTTTTCTCCTGATGTTATTGCGTGTCAGTGCCTCCAGCTCCCTTCTGCTCTGCCCCCACTCCCTCACCAGAAGCCTGGTCTGCTGTGGGATTCTGCCCCAGAACAAGAGGACAGAAGGCAAGGAGAGAAGGAATCCCGAGAGGGTCGGAGCCAGTCCTGGGTGGTTAAACACCAGGAGAGCAAAGAGGCTCTGATTCCTACTGTGTCATTTGTGAGCTGTTAGGGCTAATGGACGATAAGGCAAATTTGGTTGTAAGTAAAGTGAATTGGACTACAGAGCAGGAAATTGTTCAGTTCATTAGGGTGAACTTCCATGATAACATGTTGCAGTAATCAAAATTGAGTTTTTGAATAATTCTCAATGACACGGAGAATGCTCATGACGTGAGATGACTTTTTAATGGGAGGATACACTGTTGCCTATGGGAGGCAATACAGCACAGCTGTTAAGAGCATGGGCTCCGATCTAACACTGCCAGAGACCCAGTTCTGTCACCAAACTGTCACATGTGAGACCTTGGACAAGTTCCTCAACCCTGCTTCATCTCAATTTACCCTTGGGTAAAATGGTGATACGAATCAGTTGGTGACGGGACGCCTGCTTGGCTCAGTCGGTCAAGTGTCCGACTCCTGATTTCGGCTCAGGTCATGATCTCGTGATTCGTGAGATTGAGCCCCACATCCAGCTCTTTGCTGACAGTGTGGAGCTTACTTGGGATTCTTTCTCTCTCTCCCCTGCTCTCTCTCTCTCGAATAAATAAATAAACTTTCAAAAAAGAATAAGTTGGTTACAGGACTATGTAAATATATGTATTTAATAAATATATATTTATATGTATATAAATATATAGATATTATAAATAAATTATAATAAATAATAAATTTAAATTTATGAATATATACAATAAATTATAAATATATATGCATATATATAAACTTATCATAGTGTCCAACATACGGTGTCTTTTGAATTTGTGCTCTGAATTTCAGTGGCTGTTGCTTTTTCTTATTATCACTTGGAGAAAAGCTAGAGATAAAAATACCCAACATTGGTTGTCTCTGGACTATGGGTTTTTGGATGATTTTTATCTCCCCCGTCATTACTTGCATATTTTGTAAGATTTCTACAATAAATGTTCTAAACAACAACAAAAAAAATGCTGTTCAATAATTAGCATGAATATTACATAAAATGTTTGCTTGTTTATATTTTATCATCTCAGGACAAATATACAGTCTATTTTTATGTCTGTAAGTTGATACAGCTTTTAAAAATCTGACTTAGTTTACGATTTCCAATATTCTTATTCTCAGCCTGTAAAGGAATAAAATACAAACATACCTGTATATGAAAGTAGTTACTGAAATGAATATCATGCATCTAAAGAGAAGGTTAATTAGGTATACTCCATTATAAGAGGTATATTCCATTATCAGAAGATTTTCATAATAATCTAATGCTAGTTACCATTTATGGAGCACTTACGTGAGATACGGTGCTAAATTCTTTACCATACAGCCTATGAAGTAGTGTTATTATTATACTAACTTTACACCTGGGGAACTGGAGCGCAAAGAACTTGAATAATTTGCCTGATTACACAAGTATTAGGAGAGAAAGCCCAGAAGGGGAGCCAGCTTGCCCAACTCTACAGCCTGTGCTCTTAACTATCATGCTGTTTTAATTCTTCCAGCGATTTTGTGCGATAGATAGTATTCCCACTTTACAAGTGAGGAAGCTAAGACCCAGAAAGGTTATGTAGGCTCCCCAAGGTTCCTAAAACTGGAACACGGATTTTAACCCACTTCTGTTAGACAGCGGAGCTCCAGCCCCCAATTGCTACCAGTGTTTCTTTTTGCGAGGAGGACATCAATGGCCCCAAGCAGTAAGTGTGAAGGACTTCTGGAAAGCATGGCAAACATTATTACCCCTTTCTCTAGGGAGCTTTAGATTCTTACCCCTGTGACACAGTTGGGGATTGCCCACACTTAAAGGTAGAACACGAAATCATTTTACCCGACTTCTTACCTCTTTAACTGGATTTGATGACAATTCTAATTTCTTCAAAGAAGAATTGCCAAGGAAATCCAGTTCTTCACGTCTCAGGATGTTAATTTTATTATTTGATAACAGGAGCTCTTGGAGATTTTCCAGTTGGAGCTGACTTCCTAATTTGGTAGATGACAAACCATTATGAGATAGATCTAATTTGATTAAATTCTGAGAGAGAAAAAAGATGCATACAAGTTAGAGTCTTGCCACCAAAAATAGTTCCTTTAAATGTACCTGAATCTTAGAAATTACAGCAAAAATGTCACCTCTCTATTATTCTATAGACAACTGACAGTAGAGGTAATGAAAAATTTTCGTGGTGATCAAAAATAACATTGTTACAAGGGTTTGTTTCTCACTTCAGGATTTAAAAAAATTTTTTTAATGCTTATTTATTTTAGAGAGACAGAGACAGGGTATGAGCGGGGACGGGCAGAGATAGAGAGGGAGACATAGAATCCAAAGCGGGCTCCAGGCTCCGAGCTGTCAACACAGAGCCTGACGTGGGGCCCAAACCCACGAACCATGAGATCGTGACGTGAGCCGAAGTCGGACGCCCAACCGACTGAGCCACTCAGGCGCCCAAGAGTCATTTTTTAAAAAGAATGATTTTATTTCTCTTACCAAAATAAAGGGATTTATGCATATTTATTCATGATAGAAGGAAGATTCATAATAAACATTTATTTACTTAATTATTTATAATAAGCATTTCCTTATGATGTAAGGAATGTTCATGTGGCTTACTAAACATATAATGTCATGCATCAGCCTTGAAATGAAACAAAAATATGCTAAGTGAAATAAGTCATACAGAGAAAGACAGAAACCATATGTTTTCACTCTTATGTGGATCCTGAGAAACTTACCAGAAGACCATGGGGGAGGGGGAAAAAAAAAGGTTAGAGAGGGAGGGAGCCAAAACATAAGAGACTCTTAAAAACCGAGAACAAACTGAGGGTTGATAGGTCGTGGGAGGGAGGGGAGGGTGGGTGATGGGTATTGAGGAGGGCACCTGTTGGGATGAGCACTGGGTGTTGTATGGAAACCAATTTGACAATAAATTTCATATTTAAAAAATAATTAAAAAATATAAATAAGTAAATAAACATTAAAATAAAAAAGAAATGAAACAAAAAAAATGAAGAAATATTTTCTTTAAAAGTCCATGAATTCCTAAAAAAGATTTTTACTTTGAGAAAGATTGATAGGGATGTTAATTTTACATCATGGCGAGTATAGAATATTCATTTTTGTTTTGTTAGTGCTGTGGGACATTTTAACCACCTTGTGCTATTTTTTTATTTTTTTATTTTTTATTTTTAATTTTTTTTTAATTTTTTTTTTAACGTTTATTTATTTTTTTTTGGGACAGAGAGAGACAGAGCTTGAACGGGGGAGGGGCAGAGAGAGAGGGAGACACAGAATCGGAAACAGGCTCCAGGCTCTGAGCCATCAGCCCAGAGCCTGACGCGGGGCTCGAACTCATGGACCGCGAGATCGTGACCTGGCTGAAGTCGGCCGCTTAACCGACTACGCCACCCAGGCGCCCCCACCTTGTGCTATTTTTAACAGGTAAATTTCCACTCAGGTAAAAGGTAAGGAAAAGCTGATATATATTGGGGTAAAATCTTAGATGATGCGTATTCAAGAGAGTAAGACTTTTATTTATGTTTTAAACGTGAAAGAACATTTTGCCAAAGATTATTCTAACCAGATTTTGAGGCCTTTGTGTCCAAAGCCATTTTTTGTCCACTGCAGAATCTAAAGAGGCATAAGAGAATTTCAAATCACTAGCAAGCAAGTCACTTTACAAATGTTTCTAAGCTTACTTGTTTGTACATTACTCTTGGCATATGAGGTCAAGGAATGCCAAATTTTGTATAGGTCCATGTGAGGAAGAAAACAAAGAGTTTAAAAAAATGGCTTTGGTTCAAGAAAAGTACCTAATAAGTGTCTCAGATTTAGAGACACTCGCATACATTTTCACAGATTTAAAATTCAAGGAAAGTATTCAGGGGGAAAAAAGGATGGCCATTAGTAAAGCAATAATATGAAGAGATTTCTAAATCAAGAGTAGGTAATTTTTAGTTGGACAATTTGCTTTATCATGTGTCAATTTGTTAACTTTATTTAAGTCTGAATTTGGACGTGTGTTGTTGTTGTTGTTGTTGTTGTTGTTGTTGTTGTTGTTTTCATTACTTCAGGTACTATCAGCAGCATTGAGAGTTTATTTGCTGTGTTCCTAATGAGATATTCTTATTCTTCTCGGGTTATGACAGACCAGATTCTTCTCTGATCTCTACCTCTTGTATCTGAGTTGTATTTTTAATGGGAGGGAGCAAGAGAGGCAGAGTTCTTTAAACTTAAGACTGAAAGTGAAGTAAGATGCTATTTTCTCTTTTGAAAAGATTTCCAATCTTAAATGGCCACATTTGTACATAGAGCTGCCCCTCTTCCCATTTGGGTAGATCAGATTTTTCATTCTTGACCTTGATACTTAGATACGAAATCTCAAGATTCATGAGTGACTTGAAAACTTAACACGAGGCAACATATTTTTAATTTCTTATATGGAGGTGAACATTTCCATCCTACCTTCAGGTTTTGGAAGGGATCGTTTTCAATTTTCTGGATTGAATTGGACCTTAGATGGAGTTCCATCAAATTCACGCAGAAGATAAAAGTTCGCTCTGAAAGGTGAGATAGTTCATTGTGTTCGAGGTTCAAAATTTCCAACAAGGGGAGTTTTTGGCACAATTCTGGCTCCAGTTTTGAGATGGAGTTAAATCCTCCATCCAAGGTAGTAAGTTGGCTATATCTTGTAAAGTTGTCAGGTGGTAATCTTCCGAGCTGGTTATGGGTGAGATTCAACACCGTTATGTTTGCTGGGAGGTCATCGGGCACTTGTGTCAACTTCAGATGACTGCAGTCAGCTGCTTCGTGCCTAACAACACATTTGTTGGTAGAGGATGTACACAGTATCCAAAAGGGCAACAGCCCCAAAAAGGAACAGATATAAGGCGAACTCTGGCTCATGATTCCCTCCTCTAAAAGAAACATAACAAAGTAGCAGACAACATTAATGACACAGGTTTTCATAGGCATTGGTATATTCCTTGTAAGATAGATAACCAAATGGGACTATGCGTGATCTTTTTATTCACAACTGGTATGATACACAAGTATGTATTATACAAGTTGTACCTCCAACAGAAATAATTCAAGTAGCACAGAAAAGTAAAAAATGGAACACACAAACTCCCTCCTCACTCTTCACCTCCGCCCCATCTTCAGTGTTTCAAGGTAACCTCCTGACAGTTTCTATTTCTAATGTTCACGGTCACCTCCACAAACTCAAATAACACGTTTGCGCTTATGCTTCTGTTTCGTCAATACAGTGAGTAGTTTCTTCCCACCGTAAAGATACGAAACTTACACTATTCGATCAGTGTCCTCACAATTCTTCTTTAGTCACTTTTAATTTATTTAATCTATTGTTCTATTTATAAGTTTTATGACTATAGCTAAAACTCTGTCTTATTGATCAGACAACTTGAGACGTCCTCTCTTGATCCTTGGGATGTGATAGAGGAAATGTGCACCCCTGAATGTTCTACCCATTTCTTCCATATTTACGTTTCCTAAAACTGCCAACTACAGCCCTGGCTTGACACTGTAAAGATATAAAATGTTAGCATTTTTATCCTAAAACTATGGCGAGTCCAACATACTTGGTCCACATAAATTCAGAAAATCTAAAGCCAATAAATATCATTTGCAATTTTACGATTATAGAAATAAGCATTCACTGCAGAATCAAGACAACGTAGAGAAACATAGTGATAAGGAGAAAAAAAAAAACCTGGAATTACACTGCTGAGTTGTGTTCCTGTTTTCTGCTTGATAGCCTCCGGCAAGTTAACTCATTTTTTTAGGACTTCATTCCCTCATCTTGTAAGTCTGGATAATTGAAGTCGCTCTTCCATAGGTTGTTACAACGATGAAATGAGATAAGCCTTACAGTAGTTGGCACACACCAGCGTTTGTTATTACTATTATTATTAATCAGTAAAATAATCCACGATTTATAAGTAGATAATTGCAACTATTCTCTACTTTGTAAAAATTTTACTTCATAAGGAAAATCTATACAAGACAGAAGCCAATTATATCATGAGACAATCACAGCTAACTATTAACAAGAAGAGGGGGCCAAGCGTGCAAAATCATTGAAATTCAAGGAAATTCATGGTGGCTAGAAGGATGTGAGAAGCTCCTTATTAACCTAGCCTTGGGTTAGATGGAGAGCCACAGTGCAGACTCTAGGGCTGTTCTCACAGGCTGGGAATCAACTAGTATCTTCCCTGAACAACTACAACTGATCTTCATTTGAGGAGGCTCAATTCCTCTAAACCTGTTCTGGTTTTCAATTTCATTTTATTTATTTCTTTATTTTTAAATGTTTATTTATTTATTTTAAGGCAGAGAGAGAGAGAGAGAGAGAGAGAATGCATGCAGGTGCAGGAAGGGCAGACAGAGAGGGAGAGAGAGAAAATCCCAAGCAGGTTCTGCACTGTCAGCATGGAACCTGATGCGGGGCTCAATTTCACAAACTGTGAGATCGTGAACCGAGCCAAAATCAAGGGTCGGACACTTAACCAACTGAACCACCAGGGGCCCCTTCAATTTCATGTTCAGAATAGAAAGAAAGTCCTGGGTTATGAGGCATCCATGGATCACTTTACCCTACTAGTTGGTCTAAAGAATCAAAGTTAACAAATTTAAGCATTTGCTAACATACCATTCACAAAATAGAAAGGCCTTTAAAAGTTTTAATGGGGTTTTAGGGGAGAAGATGGTGGAGTGGTAGGAGGCCCCTATGCTTGCCGCATTCCTTGAACATACCTGGATAAACATCAAATCATTCTCAACACCCAAGAAATCAAAATAAGGGTGAGAGAATAAATTGCACAACTAGAGAGAGAGACAAGAGGCGACATCGCGGTAGGTAGGAAGGTGATATGTGCTTTGGGGAAGAAAAGGATCATAGGTGCTATGGAAGGGAGGGAGCCCTGATCACAAACAGAGAGGACAGAGAGAGAGAGTGAGAGCGCACAGGGGATCACACAAGAAAAACACTTTCCCGAAACCGTTGACTGACAAACTGAGTGGGGCTGATTGCTGTGAGTTTTTACAACCAGCAGAGCTCAAAGCCTGGACTTTTAGAAGTCAGTGCCATGGCAGGTGTGGAGCCTAGTGGGTGCAATGATGCTCTGTGGTAGGCAGAGAGCCGGGAGTGGACATCACTATCTGAGGATTCCTTGGGACACACTGGGAGAGATATTTACCCCTTCTTGGGGTGCATTTGGGAGAGGCGGCATTGCCTCTTAGGGGACAAAAGAGCCAGTGGGCACCATTGTGCTGCCCTGTTCCTTAGCAAAGGAACAGAGACAGTTCACCTGAGGGCAGCTGACCTGGATGCCAGCTTTTTGCAGCACTTTACTCTTAAACTCTAAGCTCCTGGGTGTTGGTACAGCTGCCCTTCTGGGACAAACCAGCACCAGCCCCAATGTGAAGGTGGAACTCTCCCCCAGAGCACCAGCATGAGTCTGCATTACACTGGGTCCCTGAAGTTTGGAGTTTTGAAACTCAGCCGGCCTGCCTGAGGTAAAACCCACTGGCTGGGTGGGCACACAGGCCAGACACAGACAGAGTGAAGGCAGGGACCTGAGGTATGCTTGGGACACACAAAGGGAGATTGTTAGCTCTTCTGTGAGGGCTTCATGGACAGCAGCAGACACAAACTCCCCTTCTCAGGGACAAGGGGGAGGGTTGGCACCAATTTTTCCCCTGCCCATCAGCACACATTGACTTCAGGGAGCAGAACAGTGCTGACAGCGGAGGCCTGAGCCACTTACACCAAGTCCCAACCCCTGTGTTCTTCAGGTACATCTTTACCTGGGCAAATGTGACTAAGAACCAGAGCAGCAGGCCCCTACCCCAGAAGGCCAGCACAAACCCTCGCATGTACCAAGTCTACTGACCATAGAGTGCAGCAAAGCTTCAGCTCCAGTGGAAATAGGATCAGACCTCTTTTAACAGGCAGACAAGAGCACACCTAGTTAAAACAAGCCACACTCTGGCTAAGGTCCACACACTTCCCACTGCAGGCAAGGAGAAACTCTGCAGAGGGCTGACCTGAGGGTAAGAGCAGTCAAAACAGAGCATCAGAGTGCACACAGCAAACCCCAGAAACACTTCCTGAAGTTCTAGGTCTTGAGCACTATATGACCTCTTCTTAATGAAGCCATTACTCTCAGGAACATGAAACATATCCAGCTTTCCTAACACAGAAGAAGAGACCTAGAAAAAAAATGCCAAGATGGATGAATTCATCCCAAAAGAAAGAACAAGAAAAGGTCACAGCCAGGGATCTAATTAAAAGAGATACAAGTAATATGCCGGATCCAGAATTTAAAACAACAATAAAAAGGATACTAGCTGGCCTTGAGAAAAGCATAATGGACACCAGGAAGTCTCTTACTGCAGAGATAAAGAATCTAAAAAACTGGTCAGGCCAAAATAAAAACTGCTATAACCAAGAGGTGAAACTGACTAGATGTAATGACCACAATAATGGAAGAAGGCGAGGAATGAATGGTGATACAGAAGACAAAATTATGGAAAATAATAAAGCTGAAAAGAAGAGGGAAATAAAAATATTGGATCACAAATGTAAACTTAGGGAACTCAGCAACTCCATAAAACATAATAACATTCATATCATAGGAGTCCCAGGAGAAGAGAGGGAAAAGGGGATACAAAGTTTATTTGAGCAAATTATAGATGAAAACTTCCTTAATCTGTGGATGGAAACAGACATCCAAACCCAGGAGACAAAGAAAACTCCCATCAAAATCAACAAAACCAGGCCAACACAAGGACAGATCATAGTAAAATTTGCAAAATACATAGATGAGGAAAAAAAATACTAAAAGCAGCCCGGGAAAAGATGTCCCTAACTTACAAGGGAAGGCAAATAAGGTTAGCAGCAGACTTATCCACAGAAACCTGGCAGGCCAGAAGGGAGTGGCAGGATATATTCAATGTGCTGACTGGGACAACATGCAGCCTTGAAACTTTATCCAGCAATGCTGTCATTCAGAATGGGAGGGGAGATAAAGAGCTTCACAGACAAACACAAACTAAAGAAGTTCATGACCATGAAACTAACCCTGCAAGAAATATTACTGGGGACTCTTTGAGTGGGAAAAGAACACCAAAAGCAACAAAGGCTAGAAACGAACAAAGAAAATCTCCAGAAACAATGACTTAACAGGTAATACAATGGCACTAAATTCATATCTATCAATAATCACTCTGAATGTAAATGGACTAAATGCTCCAATCAAAATACATAGGGTATCAGAATGGATTAAAAAAACAAAAACAAAAACAAGACCCATCTACATGCTACCTACAAGGGACTCATTTTAGACCTAAAGACACAGGATGAAAGTAAGGGGATGGAAAACCATCTATCATGCTAATGAATGTCAAAAGAACGCTGAAGTAGCCATACTCGTATCAGACAAACTAGATTTTTAAATAAAAGACTGTAACAAGAGAGGAAGAAAGGCACTATATCATAATAAAGGGGACTATCCAAAAAACAGATAATCCAGTGAAGAAATGGGTAGAAGACATGAATAGATACTTTTCTAAAGAAGACATCCAGATGGCCAACAGGCACATGAAAAGATGCTCAACGTCACTCCTCATCAGGGAAATACAAATCAAAACCACACTCAGATATCACCTCACGCCAGTCAGAGTGGCCAAAATGAACAAATCAGGAGACTATAGATGCTGGTGAGGATGTGGAGAAACGGGAACCCTCTTGCACTGTTGGTGGGAATGCAAACTCATGCACCCTCTCTGGAAGAAAGTGTGGAGTTTCCTCAAAAAATTACAAATAGATCTACCCCTATGACCCAGCAATAGCACTGCTAGGAATTTACCCAAGGGATACAGGAGTGCTGATACA